TTCAGTTGGTGCCTTCTCCTCAGTGAAACTTTTCTCTGCTCAGTTTCTGTGCTCCACAGGTGGCGTGCTGTTCTTCAGTCCTCACTGAGGTGCATTTAGGATGATGGAAAGTTTTATAGTCTCTGCCTGTTGTCTCCCACGCTGTACCTCAGAGCCTGTTCCCTCTAAGCATCATTGCAAAGGGCATTAGGGTTCCTTTGCAGTCAGGAAAACCAGGACAGGCCATTTTATGTCTTCTTTGTTTCTTAGTATTGGTATGACAATTGGAAATACGGTGGGCTTTTATCTTTTCTAGCTGAAAACTAGTAGAGTTTCTAGAGAACACTAAAGAATGAAAAAAAAAAGTCAGCTCAAAGTGCCTTAGTAGTCTGCACCCCTCTTTTTTTTTTACGTATGTTTGGCAAAATTAATTGTCAAATCCCAAGTATCTCAATGATAATGTCCAAATAAGATGGTGTTTGTCCTATTTTTGCTGCTCTATAGTATATGTCAGGATCTTGGAGTTTTGTTTATTCATTTTAAATTCTGCTCTTTTTTGGTTTTGTCTTTGATGTGACTTCCCCATGGTATGGGGTAGACAAACTGAATATCTAGGATGCTTTCTCATACCTGTTTGTCAAGTAGTTATATTTTGTAGCTGATTAGAGGAAGGAAAAGGAGCAGAAGGTTGTCACTTTGCAGAAATACACGTTTTACAATATTTTACTGCTTTCTGGTTACACTGAGATAAAGAATTCATTGACTGATGAGAGCAAAATAAAGTTTCAATATCCTAAGTAACAGCAGTTGAACAAGAACTGTTAGGTTAAAATATGATGCTTTATGATAGATATTGAATTTGAACCTATGCCTAACTTCATATATTACTGGTTATTTAAAGTTAATTTGCTTTTTTAAAGTTTGCTTTACTGAAGAAAATATTACCTTATACTCCCACTCAGAATAGTGTCTGTGTTTCATAAATGAGTTTTTGTAAGTGCTTGAAGAGGTTAGAGAACAAAGGGAAATGAAGGAGTTGGTCTGTAGCTCAGGAGAAGTAGTCTATAATAGATAGAGGACATTGACATCAGTTTTATTATAGCAGTCTTTTCTGAAAGTCATCTGTACTTCTCACAGCACTGGTAATTAAATAGAATTAAGGCTTAAACTGGGCAGGACAGGTAGAGGATGAATTTGAAAGCAGTTTCATCTGTTTAAATCGGTTGACTTGGTGGAAGTTTCAACCTGGGGGACTTAAACTGGCTGAAATTCCCGGGGTTCTTTTAGGGTATTTCAGGGTGCATTCAAGCCTTGTATTCAGTCATTCTGTGTGTTTTGGTATATGAAACCCCTGCATATTGATGAGGTTTTAAATTCTGAACAAATGGAAGTGTTTTTAAAGAAGAAAGTTTTGTAGAAAGAGGCCCCAAATGTTCATTTTTGCTCTAATACTAATCCTTTAAAGGACTATATGCTAGCTTGTTTCTGGAACGGTTGTTTTGTGTTCAGAAGAGGGAAGTTTTTTACTGGTTCTCTCTTTAATGTATTTAGAACTGATTTTCCTGTACCTTTGGGATCACCACTCCTTGGAACAAAAGTGGAAGTCAGAGATACCAACGGTTCTGCAGTTCTGGAAGGCGAGGGACAAATATTTATAGGTTATTTTGTATTTCTTACTCTTCTCTGATACTTCCTATAATTGAGTTTTAATAATGCTTTGCTTATTTTACTTGCTGTATGCCTCTGATATACAGATTAATGTAGCATTTTAAATTCCAATTGGGCTGGGACCCTTCTGATGGTATTTTAAGCTGTTGGAATGATGAACAGGAAATTACCATCATTTAATCTGCAGACTGCTTTCATTAGATTCACTTTTCTCCTGCATGCATTTTGACATTCTCAGTTGAAGTAATTTCTGGGTATTAACTGAATTAACTGTGTAGCCCAATTTGCACATTGCAGAAATTTAGATGTTAATAGTAATCTTGTAGTACTTCCTATAATGCTTGTTAGAGTTTAGGAGATTTTGATAAAGTACTGTTTATAATTTTCATTTACAGTGAGCTATTTAATATATATGACCACAGTTTTCTCTTGTGTAGGTGGTGAAGAACGAATCTGCTTTCTTGATGATGAAATAACTGTACCCATGGGCACAATGAGAGAAACAGGGGATTTTGGGAGAGTGCAGGATGCAGAGTTGTTCTTCTTGGGACGGAAAGACAATCAGATTAAACGGCATGGCAAACGCTTTAACATGGAATGTCTGCAGCAGGTAGTGTAACAGCTAGTGAGCAGAGTATGCCAGCATAAAAGGGCAGGGATAAGGAACACATCATTATCACCAGAAATGGGCCTTTACTCATTTTCAGATGACTTTCAGGCATCTAAAAGAAATTGGGAGGGTTTATTGTCAAGAATACAGTCACATAATATAGTGAAGAGTTTTGATTCTGAGTTCTTGGAAATCTCTTTCATTGTATGGTTTCTTCCAGCAGAACTGAGAACTGTATAAGCACCTGAAAAATAGTGAGCATTGCACTGTAGTGCTTGTGCAGTGAATGTTCTACAGGATTGAATGTCAGACTCATGGCTTTCTCTCATTCATGGTATTCAGGGAAATAATGCATATATCTCTGAGTTCATTTTTATGTGAAGTACAGACTTCAGCTACATAACAGAAGTTGTTTCATAGGATGTTATGTAGAAACATGAGACATACAGTTTTAAAATGTGTACTTCAAAAATGTGTTTTTTACTCTGTTGATGAAATGCATTCCAAACAAGACTAATATATTTTAATTACAGGCTGCTGAAGACCTTTGTCACATAGAAGCTTGTGCGGTGACCTGGTATCAGGAGGAGAAACTTATCCTGTTTGTTGTACCCAAAGGTGTTTTAGAAGAGAGAAAAACTCTTGAAGAACTCCGGAAACATGTACCAGCTTATGCAGTCCCTGATGAGCTTGTACTGATTAAAGCTTTGCCTGTGACATCACATGGTAAATTTAAAAAGTATTAAGTACCCTTGGCATTATTTTAGTGGTCTGTATTCCTGGGTTTTTATTTTAAATTTTTTCTTATTGACCAAACTTCAATATCTGATTCACGCTTTTTAAATATGTAGATGAGATAACTAACTCCTAGTAGGAAATCATAAGCATGTGTTACATTTTCTTGATAATGTTTCAAGAGTCAAAGAGTAGTGGCAAAATCATTTTAAACACTGCACTTACCTTTTCTCAGTCATTTCTTTTGCAGTCTGCAACTGAATGCTGACTTCAGCTGGGGAAAGATCAGGCCTTAAAGGTGGGATTATGTGGGAGGCTAGGGTAAATGTTCAAAAACCTTAGCGAAATGCATATAAGAATAAAGTGGCTATTTGGGCAGAGCAAGTTTTTGGAAGTGTAAATGCTGAAAGAGGAATGAAAAAAAATCATACTTTATTTTCTGCAAAGGCAAAGTTGATATATCTGAACTGAACAAGATATACCAGAACCATCTAAGCTCCAGAAGGCGTGACAGTAGACTGAGTGGCGCAGAGGAATTGTGGGAAAGATTGCAGTATTTATGGAAGGTAGTATTTTGAGCTGCCTTTTTATCTTTGCAAGTGAATCATTATACATGTGTCAGGAATTAAACAGTTTTAAGAAGTATGACTAATGCATCCAGAACATTCTAGTGCCTATAGATTTAAGCATTATAGATCTTTCTGTTAATACTTCAGTGTAGTCACTCTGCAGTGGCCAAGAGGGAATAGTTAATATTTCTCTTATCAGCTAAAACTGCAGGCTGTGAGATGTAAGCAATTAGCATTGGAGGGATGTAACCTGTCAGTAGCTTTAGGAATACTGCTTCACATGCCAAAGAAAGTATCCCTGAGGAAAACAAGGAACTGGGACATGGAAACTTCGTACAAAATAGCTACTCTGTTCGTAGAGCCTCTTACTTCTCAGGGTAATTATGAATTGAAGAGTCTGTTTTTAAATAGATGGCACAGTTGCATAGTTGTCTTTTGGACCATGTGTTTGTATTGTTTCTAGATTTCTGTGTTAAAGATTTATTTTTCCAGGTATTGAAACGTGATGCCAAACAGTATCACTTTTTTTTTTTTTTTTCCCCTTCTTCACCCCCAAAGATAGACATCCAAGTTTCACCTAAAAGTGGGATTTGCTGTGGCTAGGACTTGAACAAGTAAATGTTGAAATTGGTAACACAGTTTGCCTGTGCTGATACTTTACCATCTTGGTGGCTATAGAAACGACAACCCAAAGGGGTGAGATGTGCTCTAGACCCGTTACAGACAGCAGAAAGTGGCTTCCAAAACCACAGGCTTTGAACTTCACACCCAAACTTAACAAGTAGGGAGTGCCAAATAAAAAATCCTTCATGAATGGAAGGGGTTACAGCTTCAAAAATAGGTGGATAAGTAGGTTACTTAAATAATTCAGAAGTAAAAGATACCAGTTTAAGTTTTATTAATAAAATAAAGCACCTAAACCCATTTATCAAGATGTCAGTGTTTTATCTGTGAAGCTGTCATTGATAAATGCTATTGAGATTGAAAACAACCAACTAGAATACAGCATAGTTTGCTTTAATTCCCTATGGAGCAAAGTAAAACTTCTTGTAGTACAGAACGAGTTCCTCCCCAACTCTTGCTCTATCACTGCCTCTGTCCGCACTGACATGTTTCGTGTGATCTGTTGCAGAGGAGTTTCCTCACTTGTTGATTTTTTGCAACACTTCAGGGTATTCAGGTAGATTTTACCCAACTTGAGTTTTTGTGTGACAGGGTGTAGCACCCATGGGCTGTTACCTCTTTCCTTCTTTCCCTCAGTCTGTTCTGTGTCTCCCGGATGATTCCACTGGGATTTCTAAAGATGCAGTATTTCTGTACAGCGGTGGAGACTCCCTACAGGGTCTACGATTTCATGATGAAATTGAGATACTAGTGGGCAAAGCTGTGCCTGGACTCCTTGAAGTTATTCTCAGCCGCTCAATTGGAGAGGTTTATACACATATTCTTAAAATTCTGTTTCCAGATGAAGACCAATTAATGAATTATGACAATGTCGTGAAAAGAAAATTAACTGGGAACAGTGGAGAGGAATTCCACAGAAAATATATTAAACTGAAATCTGAAAGAAGTCTCGAGGTTGCTTCAGAGTTCATTTCATTTATTGCACTAAGCAGAGGAAATCATTTTTTTTCTATGAATTTCACCAAGTCTTTTATGCAACCCAGTAATACAGTACAGGTGGGAGTGGAACTGCTACAGCAACCATCCTTTCTGCATTCAGCGTCTCCAAGAGTCACGAAAAGCCATGTGCAAGGGTACGAAATGGAGAAGGGAGCTGAGTTGTTGTTCCACGTGAGATGGAAGTCCAACACAAGAAAATGTGTTGATGCATCACCACTGGTGGCAGTACCAGCTAAGGAAGAAGCACCTGCTGCTGTGTACATTGGCTCTCACTCACATGCAATGCAGGCGATTGATCTGGAGCTGGGGGAAGTAAAATGGGAGAAGAACCTTGGAGATCGTATTGAATCTTCTGCCTGCATTTCTAGGTGTGGAAATTTCATCATTGTGGGTACGTTTTTTGTTTTACACTTAATTTAAATTATTTTTTCTGCTCTAATACAAGGCGAATGACAATCTTATTTTTTATCTCTGAATATCCTCCACCTACACTTAACCATAAACTTCCCTGTCTGCTTCAAAACTTATTTTTTGTAAAATAGAAACAGCTGGAAGAAGTAATCTAAGTTTAATGATAACCAGTGATGGAGCTTATCTAATGGATACACGTGTAGTTTATTATATGCCAATTTATTAATAAGGCCTTATTAAGGGATAGTCAGTGGCTGTGGTTTATTTTCGGAGGTTCATTAAGGTGTGGCCTTTAAACTGTTGGATTTTTTTTTAAAGTATGGAAAGGTTATACAGTCTTAAACTGTATTTAAAAATGGATGGAGGTAGAAATTAGTAATGGTGCCTCAGGTGATTTTTCAGAGTTTCAGTATCTTGTCTCACTCTTCTTTTTGGAAATGTAAAGAACAATTGGATAGTTTTTTGGTTTTGTCATATCCATTGTCAGCAGAGTTGTCATTATTCATCTTAGTGTTTCTTTTAGCTAATATGTATATATCACTGGTAGGCACAGATGTCCAGGTGGTGAGGGGTTTTTGTGCAAGGCTAATGTTACCATATTTTTGCTGGTATTTTGATTGCTGTTTACTCTGATAACAAAATCAAAAGTTTCATTAAAACTGAAGGAGCTTGTAGAAATATAGTTCAATTTTCATTAGAAAACATACAGACTTCATTTTTTCAGCATCTTTGTTTTCAGAAGGGAAAATTAGGGAGAGAGATAATAAAAAAAAAATTCTTATTCTCCTTTTTTAGCAACTCTCCATGTGTTCTAATATTATTACTGTAAAATTTGGTAGAAAGGCAGTGAAATAACTATATTCTAAATGTAACCTGGAAAGAACATACAGAACAATCAGCTTTGAATGAATGAACTGTCAGCAAAGCTTAAAGAAGAGGAGGAGCTTTGGGAAATGTTTCAGAACTGTACCTCTTGAGTCATCTTACTTCTTCCCAGCAGGGATGAAACCCGCCGTGTAAATCACACGGTGAATACAAATAATCATAATTCTTTTTTCCCCTGTTGTGCTTTTTTTCACATAGGTTGTTACGATGGCTTAGTCTACGTGCTTCAAAGAAGCAACGGAGAAATACACTGGACTTTTGTCACAGAAGATGCTGTGAAGAGCTCTCCAGTTGTAGACCCTTCCAGTGGACTGGTCTATACAGGATCGCATGACCAACATGTGTATGCCTTGGATATTTATGTAAGAACACTAACTAGCTTTTATTAATAGAAAAATAAATACCAAACTTAGACCCTGTTTGTAGTATACATCTATTACATGTTTGCTATCTGTAGAAATCTATATATCTACCACATTTGTAGCTGAAGCTCCACTTGTGTTAGTGTTCTCAGGAGTCCACAACTACAGTTTTGAAACAGGGCTGCTTGAAGTGGGGTTAGGATTATGTGGCAGTAAATAGTTCTGGTGCTATTGTCAGCTGTGGTTCTTGTGCTCCTAGTCCCTGTTTGAGACTAAATCTTAAGTGTCTTAGTTATCAAATTCTGTGCGGGTGTTTCAGAATAGGGTGCCCAGCTAGAAGTAAAACTATGGCTTAATGGTGGAGAGAAAATATTAACATTATAAAAATACAGATGAAGGGAGATGGAAAATAAGAGGGACAGATACTGCATCTTCATGAGCTGAATTTTTTTTCACTGGAAGAGAAAGTAGCCAATGGTGTATGTGTTGCTATAATAATAGCATGCAGATTCTTTCTTCACTTCTTCACTAGTGTTTGATAAGCTTTGACACTGAAAGATCTTTGTAAAAGTGGTGAACTTTAACTCCAGCTGAAAATTTTTTTATCTTTTTTCTTGTGCTTACAGAAAAAGGCATGTGTATGGAAGTTACACTGTGAAAGTGGAGCTGTGTTTTCATCTCCTTGCTTAAGTTCTTTTCCACATCATCTTTATGTTGCTACACTAGGAGGACTGTTATTGGCTGTAAACCCAGTATGTGCATTTGCATACTTGTCTTTGATCCCAATCTGAAATTCAGATGAAACCAAAATGCATTTCTGAAGTTAAGATAGCTTTCTGAAATACAGCAATTATTACGGTAACCTTGTGTATCATAATAACGCCCTCAAGTGAAAGATATCTTATGGTAACATATGATCACCTAGCTTCTTTCATCAGAAAAGCTATCTGGTGATCAAAAGAACTGAGCTGACTTGCTTGAATTTACATGCTGACTGTAGGCCAAAGTTGGGATCTGTCTTTCTCATTCCCATATACTACCTTATCAGTTAAACTAGTGAGTGAGAGCATCTCTGTGTATTTTTTTTCTTCCCCTCCTTTTGATGGTAGGATTAGAAAAAAAAAAATACACAGAACTTAGTGAAATTGGAACAGAATAGAGAAAGAAGCCCCCTCATTCCTCTTGCTCTTTCCTTCCCTGTAGTCATTTAAAAAGCTATTCCCCTTAATCTTGGACAATCGTTCTGTTCTCTGCAGTGGTGAAATGGTATTCCTGATGGATGTGGAGCAATTTCATGTTTTTCTGAGACATTGTGTGCTTATAGCTGGCCCTGCCTGATAAAAGGAACGGTCACTTGGAGCAGTTTTTCATGGTTTTGTACTTGTACAACCCAGAGTGTCAGTTCTAACAGTCTTTATGTCATAGCTACTACAAGTTTCCTCAGCAATGCCCAATCAAGTGATAGAAAACAAGTGTATGCTTTTGCAGCTCTAGTGAGCAGTGGTTAAGAAGAAACAGATTTTTTTTTTTTTTCTGTGGTCCTGAGTAACAGGTAGTTGAAAAACCCAGCTTGTAACTCAAAGTGATTATTTATAAAAAAAGGAATGTGCAGGCTACATTAAGAGCTTATTGTGACCATCGTAGATTGTGGGTTGCAGATTTTCCTGCAGTATTTGTAGTTTGACACAATCAATATGAGTTGCTTTCAGTACATCCTCTCCTTCATTGGTCCTCATCACATACTGAGGAGCTAGGAATGGAATAAAAAATGAATGTGTCACTTACTAGAACTACTACAACACTATTATTTTTGCCCAGGGAGAGGAAGAGAAGGGTGAAACAGGCATTGACTATCCCATGGAAAACACTAAAGAATCTGTTGGAATAAGATTTGGATAGTAGTTTTGCTTCTGGTATGCATTCTGGATGGGAAAAGGCCTTTGCCTTTTCCTCCCCTGCTCCCCTCCCCGAGTTCTTAAAGGCTGGGTCAGGCTGTGAAGGAAGGGTGGTTGTGTGCAGCTTCTTACAGCTGTGTAAGAATATCACATATTCCATGTTTCCAGGTGACGGGGCATAAGATTTGGAAAAGCTTCCTGAGGAAACCACTCTTCTCCTCTCCTCACTGCAGTGAGAAGTACGTTTGTGTTGGGTGTGTGGATGGAAACTTATATTGTTACTCTCATTCTGGAGAAAAGGTAAAGGTCTTGTTGCTGAGGTTTTTTTATATTCATCAAAAAACTCTGAATAAGATCCTTTATTAATACTGTTTTCTGAGGTTTAATGATTAACATGTACCTTTTTGTGAACCAAATTGAAATGTCTGCTGTTCTAGAGAGGAGAAAGTTGAAAAAATGTTTGGCCAGGGTAGTTCATGCAATTCATGTCACTTCAACTGCAGACTCTCAAGTTGCTTGATGCAGTAAGAAGAGTTCCTAATTCAGAGCTTATACCTGAAGTAAATGGTCAAGAGTAGTGCCAACAAATTAGATAGTATGGTGTGGGTTTTGAAGTTTTTCAAGCAGGCTTGAAGACATCTCTTCTGTAAGATGGAAGCTATTTAGATGTAAAGGTTTCTTAAAAAGTTTATGCATTTATCAAAAAATGCCAAATCGTAATTCTGGCCTTCACGTTGGGTTAAATGGGAATATATTTTCAGTTCCTCAGAGATGAATGCGATTTGTACCTGGTGTTAAAACAACTGACACTGTTTCAGTTTGTTTGCCTGAGATGCAGTATATATGGCAATTCCAAAGCCTTTTCTGATATAAAATGTGTTAGCCCGTGGCCTGCACTCTGTCTGCTTGCAGCAGTGTTGCAGAATTGATAGACACTCTCTTGAGGAGGGATCTGCACGTCATTAGCAAGAGATGAGGAAGCCTGTATTGCAGAAGGAATCTTTGCCTTTTTGACGAAGAATGGCTTGTTAGCAGAATTAATGATGTTCATTACTAATTGTGATACAGCAGCCCAGGAATAGTCTTTTCCCAAGGTGGCCATCTTTACATGGGCTTCACAGAAGGTAGCAACTCTTGCACATCGATTTTATGACTCATTTATCACTTACTCTGTGTGTAAAACAACCTTTAAATTTGATAAATATTTACCAACCCTAACTGAAATTCAGTACGCTCTTGAAATAAAATGCTTTCTTGTCAACAACTAATCTGTTAAAAAAATTACAGTTGCTGTTAAACTGATAATGTGAACAATCTTTGATAATGGGGTGGTTATGTTTGTTCTGTAGGTTTGGCAGTTTTCCACTAGTGGACCAGTGTTTTCATCGCCATGCATCTCAAGTTTAACTAAGGAAGAAATATTTTTTGGCTCCCATGATGGCTTTATCTACTGTTGTAACATGGAAGGTAATTTACTGTGGAAATTTGAAGCCACTTCAAGTGTATATGGAACACCGTTCATTTTCCAAAGTGATCACTTGAAGAACAAAATTCTTTTGGCAGCAGTATCTACAGATGGCAAAGTGTGGATCCTGAATGCCAAGAATGGGACAGCAGAAGGAGTCAGTATGCTTCCAGGAGAGGTGTTTTCTTCTCCCGTAGTATGGGGAACAAAGCTTGTTGTTGGCTGTAGAAATGATTATGTCTATTGCCTAGATTTGTCTGTAACAGGAAAAAAAGAACAGATAAGATGTTAGGCTGCGTCCTTTTTATTGTTTACAGTTGTAAGTCAAGAACTCAGAGATGCTCTCTACCACTCTGCCTATTTTACTGTAGACTTCTCAGTGTTTTGTACCAGGCAGGGTCCAGAGTAGGTTTGGACTTGCTGAACTGACTGAAGGAGAATGGCTGCTCAGCACCCAGCCAGAAGTTTAACTCTCCCTCCCTCATTTCCCAGCTCCCAGTTCATGAGAGAACATGTTTCAGATGGTTTGGATTTGCATGTTGTGCTTTGACCTGCATAGTAAGAAGATGAAAGTCGGTAGTCTGGCTTCATACACTTGCAGGATTGGGAGAAATGGTGGTGAGGTGCTGTGCTCTGCAGCTTGGCATAATGTGGTTGTCTCCCTGAGGGAGGAATGTATTCCTGTCTGTGAGTCCAGCCCAGCCTGTGCCCTGAGGGTCCTTCACAGCCTGTGCCTGGCTCTTCCAGGCATCTGACTGGTACTTGTCTCGTCTGGTGAGGTTTCTGTGCCATGGCAGGGTAACCCAAGTCTTTTTTTTAATCTAACTTTTAACTTGATTTCTGAAGACCAGAGCCTGCATGACATTTACCCAGCAGTAGTGACCTGCTTACTGTAGTTTGTACAGGCCAAACAGTTTGTCTTCTGTGGGCCCAGGCCCTCCTTGGTTTCAGCGCAGTCAAGCATGCACTTAACTCCACTGAGGTCAGGAGTTACTTCGTGTGTTCTAAAGTGGAGAATATGCTTACATGTGTATATTTATTAAATTTCAATGGCAGGTGCAGTATGATTTCCAAGATGAAGCGTGCACTACTCAAATCAACCACTGTCAAATAATTTTTTTAACAGATTTGAACGCATGCTCTCTGCAACGTCTTTGCAGAGAACTATTAATAAAGGGTTCTGAAATTGCTTTTGGTTGTCTTTCTTTAACACTTTTAAAGGAATTACCAGTGGTCTTGGTAAGGCAAATCAAGTATTTGCAGTGACAAAAGCATGCTTAACTGAGAGCATCTTCCTGATTATGAGTCTTCTGAAACTATTCTCTCATCTCTGATAAGCCATCTAATTTGAATTCTATCATCTTGATTTAAAAAGTAAAGCAGAGGTTGCACTGTCTGTGTTGCTTCATCACGTGTGGTTCCTCATCTTCTCAGGGGCAGCAGTGCACAGGCAAGACACTTGTAGCCCTGTAAAAAGTTCTAATTATAAAGCAAACCTGAGCTACACGATTAGAAAAAGGAGACACACAGTACATACCTCATTGATTAGGTAATTTTGACTGGGTTATAGTTTAATAAGAATTAAAATGACATTAGTATAATAAACAATTGCACTTTAAAACATTTGAAAAATTAAAAAAAGTACACAACGAATACCCCACAGTTATACATCTTATAGTTTTTATACATTACTATATGAACGTAGAGGTTAATCATATATAACCTTGTCAGAAGAAATGGTATTTTGTGTGTATAAGTTAGAAAAAATTGAGACAATATACTACATAGTGGTTTGTTCGGTTCTTAAAACATTTTTGCTGTTTTGAACTTGGTAGTAATGTTTTGGTTTTATTTTTACAGATTTCCAACACTTCATCAGAAATGGTTGCAACAAAGCTAAAGCAAAGTAACACTTCACTTCATTGGTATTTAGTGCAAATTTTTGTTAATTTAACATGAAATGTCACTGTTGAACATACACATTTTAGAAATGTTTCCATCAAGTACTGTACATAATACAGCTTCCATTATTACACTAGATACCTTTGTGGTTGAAAAAAAACCTCTGCTTTGAAGCTTTAGATTAAGACCATCCTTAATAAAAGCACTAGTCTATGTGCTGTAAATGGATTGTATTGGAAAATTGCATCCTTGTGTCATGCACAATAGCACCTAATTCTGCTATGCTTTTCAGAATACCAGTCTCTTTAATTCTTTAATCCTGATTTACTTCACCTTCTCTTTTTTTGCCTGGCTCCTTCGCCCATGAAATGGTCATCGAGATGGATTTCAGGCAGTTGAGTTCTTGTAATTACAAGTACATATGGCAGGTTTATACACCCAGAAAAAGTGTAAATTTAAATTAAGCTGCACTAATTTGTGATGCTAGCAAAACAAAAGAAAAAACATTATAGACCGAATTCTTTCTCCAAATGAGCTTGCAGAGATTTGACTTTGAAGGCATTGAGTATGGTTTTTTTTCCCCCAAGCACTTGAGAGCAGCATTGCCCCATCGCTATATAAAACATTTTAAATACAATATTAAGGGTAAAAAGTGACTTTAGAGATTCTGGTTTTAAATATGAAACCGAGCAAAACTGATGGCTTAGACCCAAGAAAGCCCATCTGGCTGCTGCACATCTATTGAAACTAACACCATCCATTGTGCTTGTGCTGTTGTAAGCATGACACTGAATCTTGTTTGATGGGAAATAAATAGTGTATTCAGTGATGACTTTTGCTGACAAGCCCTTTTTGAGTCTTGGAACGGGAGGACACAGCAGCCTTCACTCTGTTTCCTGCATAAAGTGCTGCTACTCATGCTGCATACAGCAGTTTGGCTAAAGTACATACATGTAACATATGTGGTATCAATCTGTAATGCAATTTCTTCTCATGAAAATGTCTCCCTCTATGATGATGTAGGCTTAAAGGTTCCTTTGAGCCTTATGGTTGTAAGGAGGAGCCATTCAAATTTATGAAAGACTTCCTTGTAAAACAAACTTGGGTGTGTTACTGATTTATTTACTAGGGTGACTTTTTAAAATGTAGACCTAGCGATTTCTGTGGGATATTGAGGATAGTAAAATTTTTATTACATTATGGACTTTATCCTTTTTTGTAAGAGGGAGGGGGCCTTTCAGGTACAAGAAGTAATAAAGTGTTAAATTGCCACAGCAGGCACCTGAGATGGGGTAAGTAAACTTCTTTCTGAAGTGTTCTGGCTGTATTGGTCAAAGTACAGGAAGTTACCTGAACTACCTGAAGTTGCACATGGAGTAAAATCAGGAAGAATGCAGAGTTAAAACTCCTGAGACTCTCGCAGCCTGAGCTTCCCAGTCCCAGTTAACTTCAGTTCTGCAAGTCTTACTCCTGTGGGAACTTACTGAGACAAATTCTTAGAGCTACACGGGCAGAGGAATAGTTTTACTTATTTTAGATCCTGTCAATTCATTTAAAGTTGTAATCTGCAATCACTGTCTCTGTGCATCTTCAATATGGCCAAGCACTAACAGCGATGCACTTAAATCACTAGAAGAAACACTGACTCCATGGCTGCTTTCTAAAAACTCTGGGTTGTGTTTAGTTAATTTTTTTTTAAAGTAAGATGAATTGTTTTCTTCCTAGGAATGAGGGAATACAGAGAGTGTATGAATCCTATGATGAAAGAAATACGTCATCGTTTGGATGGTACTATCATTCTACTTATCACTTGCAGGTGGAACAGTATCTCCCACAGTTCCTCACTAGGGAAGAAGCTTTCAAACAGCAGGTAGAACTGACAGTTCATACAGTTTAACACTTAAAAAAATCAGGAATAAGAGAAGGTAACATGCATCTTGCCTTCATTTTCGACAATGGAGTGTTGAAAAAAACCCTGAGACCTCCACCTAAGTGCAGAGATCTAAAATTCCAGAACCGAATACCCACAGACTTTAAGGCCCTTCTTAATGATACTTGCTAAATTGTACATCCAGTATCTGAGCAGTCTTAAATTTTTGAGAGTCTGGCTCTGAAATTTTTGCCATGACCTCATTTAGCTATTTGTAAAAGCAATGGAATATATGACTTGAGTAGACTTTACAGTGAGAGCAAAATGATCATCAGTTCAATTTTCAGTCCTTCAATACATGCATTTTCAGGGTCTTTTTATGTGTAAAAAGCTGAATAAATAAAGTAATTAATAGCAATAGAGATGTAACTTTACAGTTTACTTTATGATCTGTGGACAGTCACTCCAGGCTTTCGCTTTCCTCTTGGCCAACGCAAGCCAGGCTGGTTCTGTTGACACAGGGTTAGCATCAGGTGTAGAGAATCTCTTGGCCACCTCCTTTGCCAGGGGGGCTGATGGAACAGAATCTGAAATTTCCACTGTGTTTGGTGGGGTGGGGAGGAGAAGAAAAGAAAACACATTAGTTGAACCCCATGCTTTGTTGCAGGATTCTAGAGATATTACTTCTTTTCTGTGAAGCTCTAACACTTCACGTGTATTTCCTACCCTTTTAGTTAGCTCTTCCTAATTTGATTATTTTGCAAATAAAATAGAAAGTAATATTTAAGTTTGCTTTTTCAGAGGTAACTCCAAGTAACTCACAAAAATAGGGACAACATTATTGGTCTCAGGGAGATCCAGAGAAAACATTTCCAATTTGCCAGTTGTCTTCTTTACATAAACTATTTTAATCACATCTGCAATGTGGCAAACAATGGGAAATAAAGCTGGATTTTATTCTTTTTCCTTTAGTAACGCAGATGCTGCACACGTGGAATCCAACTGCAGTCAGTAGGATTTACATTGTCTCTTCAGATTAAGATTCTTAAATAAGCACAGAGAAGAAAGCAGACTGACACTTTCCTGCCTCAGCTCACCGCTCCCGTGAAACTAGCCTGAAGAAGAAATGAACCAGCTTTCTCCAACAGCTGTTTGTCACATTGTCTTGAAAATAGTGTATTTGAGACAGAGCTGTCTCAGCAAGAAAGGATGTGGAACAAGCAACCGATTTCTAACAAGCAACTTTCAAGAGCAAAACTGTGGAAGTGTATTGTACAAGTCAAACTGGAAGATTGTTTAATTCTCGGACAATAAATGCCCTTGAAGGCAGCCTGGAGAGAAGTGATTCCTCTCTGAAACCTATTGGGTGGGTCTAAAAATCTTAGTTAAAAAAGAACTCCTCATTAATCCCTTACACATTTTCTTTTCTAGGAGCCAAAACACCTTTGTTTTTCTGTTGTTAAATCTTCAGATTGAGACCAAATTACTTTTAGTTGCATTTCATTTGCATGTTTTGAATGTTTTAAAAAAGCTTTAAAAATGCATGGATAGCAAAAATTATTTTTTCTTTTTAGTACATCTTTAGTCATGTATTTTTAGCTCTAATTAAATGAACAGCAGTAGCAGGTATTGCTGCAGACAGACACTTAGAACAGCTAATTGTTTTAAATGTTAAGGTAATTCATGCTATTTTAAAAGTTATACTCTTACCAGCTGCTGTGGCACTTGAATCATGTACAAGTCTTAAACATGCCACCTTCTTCGTGTTTTGGGTGTTTTGGGTTTGTTTTTTTTTTTAATGTCCTTAGAGGAGGACTTGGCAAACTATTATTTTAAACATGTTCTAGCCTGGTCTTGTGCCTTAAATGTTCTCCTGATTGTGGGATACCCAAATTGCCGAGATGTTCCATAATAAACAAGTGCTTGTCTGTAGGATGTCTGTGCAGTTGCCAGTGGCTACATCTGGAGCTGGGCGGCCATTAAGCACACAGAAATTCAGTCACTATTTGTTTTAGAGCCAACACAGTTCTATGCTTTCACTTCAGGTAATTCAAAATTGGGAAGCCCTTCTGCATTTCCTTCTGAAACTCTCATTCTAGTGCAGACAGATTAACCAGGGATAACTGGGGTTTGGCCCTCCTTTGATTGAATTTGGCATCATTACTGCGCTAGAGTTTGATTTCTGCTCGAACTGCCCCCACACTACTGGAACTTTTGGGGCAGGGCTGCGGCAGGGCAAGCCCTGTTACAGGGCAACAGGCACCCTGTAAAGCTTCTCCAGCTGCCTGCCCCCACAGCCAGCCTGGGCCCTGGAAGCAGGGAGCAGGGAGCAGGACAGCTTTGGGCAGCCTGTGTGAGATCTGAAAATGGGTTGGGTTGGAAGGGGCCTTTTAAGGTCATCTAGTCCAACCCGAGATGTTGCAAGTAAGACAAGTTTTCAGGGGTAGCTGCACTGGCGTGCAGCTCCTGCAGTAGCTGAATATAGGCATGCGCAGGGGGGTCAGCTTGCTCTGTAATGTGCCAGCAGCACTGGTTTAGCCTTTACTATTTCAGATCGGATAAATTACCGTAGTGCTTTCAATAACTGAATTCTGTGATTCTTGGCTTGGAGTGGGACTGAATAGATTTCAGCTGATAACATGCATTTACTGTCAAAGAAGCCCACACTATTTACTGTGCAACTTGCAAAAAAGGTTTCTTCAGCACCTATCTGTCTTCTTCTCTAAATCCTGTTGCCTAGGACTAATGTTGGCTAGAGAAACAACAGACAAGTCTCTCTTTGAACAATCACCTTATACCACCCCAAATATTATACCCTTTGTAGAACCATTTATTTTAAGGTGTCTGCCTTTTGGAATGGAATTGTTTCAGTGTAACTAAAATGACAGATAAACTAGTATGTTCTGGTTCCAACCTTCCATACCAAATACTGGACTAGCAGGGAGAAGTCCTAAATTCAAAGTAACAGGCTACCTTCAATGGAATGTTTTTTGCCTTATTGAATTAAATAAGAATATTAATTCCAAATATTCTGGGGCATTTCTCCTTGAAAAACTGAGACGTGTGGGTACACAATATGCTTCACCTCCTACACCAATACACTTTGTGGAAGTATTGTTCCCCCTCTGTCCTAAGCCCCACACCAAAAGAACTGCAATTGCTATTTACAATAAATCAAATCTCTCTAATGTGCATTAGTCATGTTCCAAAAATACTGTTAGATGTGGCCTGGGGAGACTTTTTAAAATTTGAACTGGAGCATTTCTAAGTAAACACAGGAGTGCAACTATTAAAACCTGTTAAAATTATATATATGTAGCATAATGGCCAGCGTGTGAGATGTGGACAAATTGTGGTGTTCCCTGCTGAAAGCAAATGCATCTGTAATTCTAGGGATAGCATAGAAGAAAAAAACACATTCATTCCCTTTTTCGAGAACATGCAGCACCACTTCTGCAGTGCATTATTCCTAGAGTACATCTGCATCTTTCACTCTACCTGTCACAGAAGTTGGGAGGGTGTTTGACTTTTTCAGTTGTTCCCTTCTTTCCAGTCTTGATATAGCAGTCTCAATTTTCTTCTCCCCTTCTTGAGTTGTAGATTTCTGCAGTGTGGTTGTTTTGCTGCTGCTGCTGCTGCTTTTGTTATCTGGCTGATTACTTACAGCAGCCTAGAACAGAGAAGGAAAACTGCCAAATGAGAAACAGTCCGTCATGGTATAACTAAGACATGTCACACTTGATGATTTCATTCATCACCTGTCCTTTCCTGCAAAAGATGAAAACACTCTGATACTTCTAAAACTAACAGTTATTAGAGACTATAAAAAAAGAAAACCAAACCAAACCAAACCAAACCAAACCAAACCAAACCAAAACAAAAACCACACTGAAAGCCCACAAAGTTAAATTCATCATGTTGTCATTTCAGTCAAAATATTGAACAGTTTGAGCCAGCCCTACCCGTTAAATACAGCACTGAAACACAGTGTGCAACTGTGGGCACCTTCACACTCACTGCTGTTTTCTTCTGCCAAATACCTGTGTCTGTAATTCTGCACATGTTTATCAGAAATGTGGGTCTCATAACAAGCACCAAAATATACTTGGTCATCCACATCATCTCTCCTTCTACCACCTGTGGCACCTATATACAGCATCACTATTTGTGTGGCACCTGTTCTATACTTCAGAAGTTTTCTTACTAATAGAAAACCATGGTTTTCTCTGGAGAACAGGAAAGAAGTGATACTTGAATTCAGTACCTGCTTTAGGCATTTGGATGTTTCACATCACGGTTCATTTCTGTCATTCATCTGCATTTTATCCAAATAATACATGTTACAATAAAAATAAATTAAAACTTACTAATATTGACCTATGTTCACCTAGAAATGAATATTCCAGCTGCTGTTCCCTGGGCATTAAGGCTTAACATCATTTACTCAAGCTCTGAAAGAACCATGCCGCACGCAATTTTTCTGTTCCATCACCTGCACAGTGGTCGTGCTTATGATTGCCATTAACTACCACCTGCTATTAATGCATCAGAATTTACACTAAAATTGTCAAGCTAGTGCACAGTATTTTCCCTGGGAGAGCTCCGTTTTACAAGAGGGAACTCCAAACTCAGTAAATTACTTTTACTCAGTCATTTTAGCTTTTATGAGAACTTACAAACCAAACAAAAAAACTTTCCCTTCCACATAACAAAGCTAGCTAACAGTCCTACTTATGACACCCCTATTTCTAGCGAGCAGGTTTCTAAACATTGTTTACATTTTCCTTAGCCAGCTTCTCTGCTTGCTTCGCCTCCCTGGCTTGTCTCCTCTCCTCCCTTGTAGCTTGCTGCTCACGAAATCCCTTTTGCTTCTGCAGCGCCAGCGTAATCCAAAGCGGTTGCGAAGTCTCAACTTTTTCCATGAATTTAGAGCCATCCAAAGAGTGCCTGCTCTGGAGGACGGGCTTTTCTGAAAGAAAACACGGCAAGAACGGGTTGAGTAATGCACATCTTCCCTATCCAGCAAACCCATCTGTACCTGCTGAGAGCTCCGGAGCCAAGCCTGGGGAACGCCGTGACGTTCACAGGCCTTCGTGGACTGCGTGTCAAATCCTGGGACAGTCTGTATGCCTATAGTGACCTAAGTCACTTATACAGCTGTCCAAACTTCCTTTTTTTTTTTTTTTTTTTTGTGAAATAGCCTACCTGATGCTTAGAATTATAGCCTAATTTACTACAAATACTCACACTGTGTGAAATAAATTTAAATGATCCATATGCATTGACTGTTTGTAACTCAAATGGAAGTGATCCAGCCACTACCTACTGCAGTTCCCTGTGTTTCCAGCTGTAATTAAGAGAAGAAGAGTGTCTTGAACTTCACAAAAAGGTGGCAGAAATGTACCGTTGCCAATGCAGCCCCTCTTAATTTTTTTATTTACTTTTTTTAAAAATTGTCACTTGGAGCATCTGACTTCCTATACCCTTCATGAAACTGGGGCTCGTGCCCAGCATAGAGCTGTGAGTAGCAAGGAGCAGGACTGGGGTACAGAGGTGCTTCTGCAGAGCTTGGTGAGCACAGAAACCCTCAGCTGGCCCAGGCCTTGCTCTATCAGGCCAGCCACTGTGCCTCCAACTAGTTTCCATGAATCTTGTTTTAAAAATGACAAAGTGAAAAGAAAAAGCATAAAAAATTTGTAAAAAAATATGCCACAGTTCCACTGACATATGGTTTTAGAAGTGTCTTGATGCTTCCAAAATTCAAGAATGGAAAAAAATTGGGATTTCCCAGTTAAATGCTGAATTCCTGTCTTGCTCTTTCAAGTGTCCTTATGCTAAAGGGTGATTTTTCCTCTTGTACAGGATACTGTTTGAGGACACAGGAGCCTCCAACCCTCCTCTGAAGAGCCAATATGACTACTGTAGTTGTTTCTTTTACTGAAGAGTACCTCTGAAACGCAGACTCCTGTGTCCAGCTACATTGGCTTACATAAAGAATTTGCACAGGATAGGCACTCTAAGGGGACCTAGATCTTAACATTTTTAAGCTAGCTAATATTCTCCTAAGGAAATAAACCCACTATGATATAAATTATAAACATTACACCATTACCATGGAACAGAGTCCATCCTCAGGCTATCTAGGTAACACCTTTACCAAGGAAAACACACATATACACACTTCAGTTATCTCCTTGAAATTAACCTCCTGAAGCAGGTTGCACAGGTCACACGGAGTCTGTGTGTTTCTGAATTAAACTGTGGGGATGGGAAGTCCCAGTCATTCAGACAACCCTACATGAAGTAGTTGTACTCCACAAATGACATGCCAGGTACAAATTATAGCTTAAGACCAAATGTCTTTCCCTCCAGTACCTCATTTTGGAAATGCGGACAACAGCTAAATGACCTCTGAAAAACACATACCTTTCTTCAATGGCTCAGGCTTTTTGTCATTTTTTTCTCTCCATGGAATGCTTATAGATGGGAAAAACGACTTCTTTTCTCTGATTTCTTCCTCTTCGTTTCTGCACTCACTGGATGGAGGGGGGTGCACTGCGTTTGCTCTGTCATCTTTTCTCCAGCCACCATCTGATTCAGCTTTAATGAACCTTTGCCCTAGTGCCTCAGCTAGGTTTGGTCTGTTCATTTTGGAGAGAGGAGACGATGGTGGTGTCTGACTGGTGGGCTTTGGAGCTAAAGCAGGTTTCTGGGGGACCAGTGACTTGCACGCTGGTTTCTCATGAGGGGGTAAAGCACTCTGGCCAGTGGCTGGTGGAAACACTGATGTGCCCACTGGCTGTGAAGTCTCCGCCACAGTAATTGAAGAGTCTTTCGAGTCTTTTAAATGACCAGGGATGCTCACTCTCCCCACACCGGGGGACGTACTCTCTTGTGGAGCAAAAACGGTGGATTCTTTCTCACCTTCTGTCGTAACTAGTGGGTCAGGCACACCATCAAAACTATCACCTGCACTGTATCTTTTCTTTTTCTTTTGCTCTGCCTGTTGATCATAGTGGAAACGTAAAGAGTAGTTTGTCCTTCGTAACTTTATCCCAAAAGGAGAAACATTTTCTTCTCCGTTTGGTGCTGGTTTATCTGCTTTTTTCGTGCTGTTACTCTGCTGATTTTCCAGAGCACTGGGAGGTTCTCCCTGGGGCAATTCATTACCCGGAGAAGGAGGAAAACTTGGAACAAGGAAAGACGGGAGATCTTTTGCAAATTTACAGCCTTCTGTGTTGTCTGTCGTTTCACTACGGGTTTCCATTTTCTCCTTAGCCTTTTCAGCTAAGTTATCCTTAAAAGTGGAAGCCACATCCTCCTTTGAATCGGCAGGTGAGCCAGTGATTCCCCCCACAGCCACTGTTTCATTGCCTTTTGCCACGTTTACATTCTGGGCATCCGAATTGGTTCTTGAAGCTTCTGAAAACTTCTGCCACGCTGGCGTTATTGAGAACTTCGCATTTGCAGAGAGGGTTTTCCTCAAGTTGCCATGGGGAGCACCTCGTCCTCGAGGTGTCCAGTCGTCACTGTGCCTGCAGACACTCACTCGGTCTCTCTCATTATATTTGCCATTCTCTGCATTCTTTAGGATTCTGGAGCGGATGGAGGCCCACTCAGCCAGCACGGCCTGGTTGTTCAATGACTCCTGTGCATATTTCATTTTACTGCTGCTGGGTTTGGGATCCTGGGTTTTTTTCTGGGTCTTCTCTGGCGAAGAAATATCCACATTTTTTCTCTGTTCTGTTAAGCCAAGTAACGATTTACAGGCGGTGTCCTTTATCTGGTTCAGGTTAACTGCTGTGCCACACAGCTGTGCTCCAGTAACCAAAATAGCTGTATGGGGTACACACACAGATGACGGGAGAGGATGAGAGCCCTTGCTGGCTGTATGCATCCCGCAGTCTTTGATGGATGGAGAAGAGAGCCCTGCTCCTTTGACGGGCATGACTGGACTCAGATTTACTTTCTGAAATATAATCTGTTTGTCTCCAGAAGACACTTGAAATGTGAAGGGTCTGGATGCAGTTTGTCTTTCATCTACTTCTTGCCACCGAAGTTCTTCCCCTATTCGCTTCTGTTCCTGAGCCTCAACTTCCCTCTTCAGTTTCTGGGCTAGGACTTCTTCTGCTGTTTTATTCCCTTTTTCTGGCTGTTTGAGTTTTTGGGATCTTGATCCTTCTTGGAGCTTCTCCTCTACCAGATACCTATCAGCCCCTTCAGAACACAACTGTTCCTTGTCCTGTTGCTGTTCCAAGGATTTTTCTTGTTGGTTTTGCTGAAGATTTTCTCCTCCTGTATCCACCTTCTGCTCTTCTAGCTTGTTCCATTCTCGTTCATTTTGTTCCTTTTGCTGCTTCAGTTCATCTTGTAGCAGACCCTCTGCACTTTCCATGTGCATTTGTTTTGTGAGTTTGTGTCTCCTCTGCTCTTCTCGTTTCTTTTTCTTATCCATTACTTGCTGGGCTTGTTCCTTCTCTGCCTTTTCTCCTTTCTCCTTAAAACGCTGCTTTTGTTCCTCCTGTTTCTTCTGCTCTTTGCTCTCAGCTTCATTCTCCTGCTTCAGCTTTATTTCATCTTCTTGAAGCTCTTTCTCTTCTAGCTCTCGTCTCTGTTTTTCTTCCTTTTTTTGTTCCTGGAGTGGTTTTTGTCCCTTCATCAAATTTCTTTCCTCCTCTTGACACAGTTTTTCAATCTCATGTTGCCTTAATTCTTCCAGCTCTACCCTCTTCCGCTCCTCCAGCTCCTTGTGCTTCTGCTCCCCCCATTCTTGATGCTTCTGCTCTTCCAACTCTTGATGCCTCTGCTCTTCCCGTTCCCAGTGCTTCTGCTCCTCCATCTCTTGTGGCTGTTGCTCCTCCTGTTCCTGGCACTTCTGCTCCTCCAGCTCTCGACTCTCGTGCTCCTCCTGTTTCTGGTGCTTCTGCTCCTCTGGCTCTTGTCTCCGTTGCTCCCCTTGTTCCTGGTGCTTCTGCTCCTCCAGCTCTTGTCTCCGTTGCTCCTCTTGTTCCTGGTGTTTCTGCTCCTCCAGCTCTCGTCGCTGTTGCTCCTCCACCTCCTTCTGCCTCTGCTTCTCCAGTTCCTGGTGCCTCTGCTCCTCCAGCTCCTGTCTCTTTTCAGCCTCCAGCAGTCTCCTCTCCTCTTTATGGCATTTTTTTTCTTCTATTTTCAAAGCTGTCTCTCCTTCAGAGAGATTCTGCCTCCTCTCTTCTTCACAATGCCTTCTCTCCTGCTCTTTCTGCATCTGTTCAAGTTCTTGGCACCTTTGTTCCTCCATTTCTCTTTGTTCTTCCATTTCTACAATCTGCCTTATCCTTTCGGCCTCAACGATCCCCCAGTGATCTTCAGATCTTTTCTCCTCTGCCAGCTGAATCTGCTTCTGCTCATCTCTGCTCTGGCTTAGTTTGTCTGCTATGATGTGTCCATTATAACCTGGGTATCTGTCTCCATACAGCTGAGTTTCTAGGTCCTCTGGCTCAAATTCTGTTATTGTTAAACTTTGTGATCCCTAAAATTGGGAGACAAGTTTGAGTTATTGAATATTGCCTGTTGGCTTGTTATTCTCTACAGTGAACAATCAATCAGTTGCAAATGCAGAACAACCTTTTTTTTTCATTTAAAAAAGGATTTAGATCCAGAGTCAACACACCCACCCCAACTTATGGATCACATCATCATAGATCTCATGCCTCCCACCGATTTGGATGGTAGCGTTTAAAAGAAAGAAAACATCCCAACAGTGACAGCAGTATAGTATAGTGCTAAATATTGAAATCACTCTTTAGTGTGCGTGAGCTAACCCAGACTGAGACCTGCCATTTCAAATTTACAGAAGCCCAAGGAATAAAGCCCAAGTTTCATATGCCTGTTCTGCTACTTAGAATCCCATCCTTTAAGCCCAAAATGCTTAGCACCTGCTTAAGAGCATTGTTTTGCCAGTTCTTCCATGGCAAATCTAGTTTTCAGTTGCAGAGCCAGAAGCTGTTGCCTAGAGAAAAGAGCTCTGCAATGCTAGCCAGGGAAGAATACTGCCCAAAGAGCCACACTTTGGTTGCTTTTCACAGATGCTGAGCCAGGATATCTTCCCCATCAGCTGTGCTAAGACTTCAGTTCCAGGACCAGGCATGGACAGAGAACCCAGAGCTCCCCACAATCCTGTAGTGTATTCTACTGAGGCACGTGCTAACTGCTGACAGGTTCTCCATGCTTGCCCCACAGCCCTGGCATGTGGCTGCCATGCCCACTACAAACTGAATGCAGATGATCTTCATAGATCATCTCACTCCTTGTCTCTGGAGCAACATGGTCTAAAGACGAGCTGCACCTTAAGAGTGCTTCTCAGCACCTTCCTTGAGGAACACAGCTCAGCTATTGCCTATTGTCTAGATTTGTCTAGATATCATCTGACTCCAGTTAAGCATTCTGTATAAACAAGAGGTTTAAATTTAGTTGCTTCATTGCAAGAGTAATAAATGTAAGTACAATGGTGCGGAAGAAAGGACAGTGGCCTGCTCTGAACCCTGTATTAGTTGAATAGTATTGTACCACTTACAAACACTAATAAGAGGTCAGGATAAAAAACAAACAAACAAATAAACCAAAATAGCCATGCAGTAAGTGTACAAAGCTAGGATCTGGTAATTCACTCTACAGCTGTCGCAAGAGTATCAATTAGGTCTCACTCTTTCTTGTAAGAAAACAATGTTATCACTGCCAGAACCCGTGCCAGTTTAAGAGAATATAATTCTTTTCCCAACCAAATTTTGCACTGATTGCCCATACCAGAGAAGCATTAAAGTGGCAGATACCCTTCAGACCTTTATGACCTAATTTTTTTACTAGAGAGAGCTCCCCCACTGTAAAATCCTAGTGGAAGTAGTTCAGAAGTAAGTAGTATTTGTCTCAATTGGCTATATTAAAACTTCTTTGTATCTTCTCTCCAGATGAGGTTTCATCTTTAGGTTTCTATCTTGATTTCAAGATAAAAGAAGCATGTGTTTTGTTTTGCCTTGAAGACACAAGATTTGTTGAAGAAGCTTTCAGTAGCTATCTCTAACAGTGTTAATCACATCTTAAGACAGTTCTCTGTCTATAGCTATTCCTGGTACACTCACAGTTGTTTTATATCCATCTTCAAAAGCAAACCCCGTCCTCTTGCTGTTTGACCCATGGTTTGATACCTTTGTTAATCTCTTGTGCTTTCTTGACATCCTCTGCTTTTTTGGCTTCACTGACAGTTTGTGTTTAGCTGCACTGTTGTCTAGACGAGCAACAGCCTGAGGAACTGCATCCAAATTGATTGTTTCAATTGTGCCAGAACAGGAAAATTGTCTTTTTGGCCGAGATGATTTGACTGGAGTGACCTGTTTGTATCACAAAAACAAGAATCTAGTATTAAGCTACTTACCCCATTTAAATAAATAAACAATAAACATACACAAAAGCCTTTGCAGTTTTGAATTCAAAGGAGTCATTAGCAGAAAAGATTTCAAACCCCGTTTCTCCATTTTACCAATCATGAAGTTTGGACGTGGAAGTTTACAGCTGTAATATTTTCCTATGTCCAGTACTACAGGTTTTCATACTTTTCCAGTGAAAATTACTTAGATCATTCTAACTGAAGTTTTTTCACAGTTTAGTTTCACTGAAGTTGCTAGGAATGGGAAGGGCGGAGGCAGAGTTTTAAGCAACGTCACACTGGGACATTTTAAAGTTTGCTTACTGTGGAAAAAAATACCTACATCCTTAAATAATTTAGATCATACACTTCAGGCAAGAGCAAATCAGGTTGACTTCTCTAGGGATTATAACAGAGCAGCTACAGAGCTGTACTATCTGCATGGGAGATGACTACGGTATTGGATCTCAGACTGGTACACTGCCTGCGGAAAAACTTCTCTCCACAGTCATGTGGAGGTGTCCAAGCTAGCATCAAAGAACAGCAAAAACCAAAATAATACAGTATTGGCTTTGATGGGTGCTTTCTTCTGTTGCCCTTCAAATATTTGGGTTCAGAAAGTGCAAATACAAGCAAGGTGATTTAGTGAGACTCCTCTCATGAATAAATGCAGTGGAACTGTACGTCTAGACGTGCAAGAGCGAGCCTGTCATCAGTCTCTCCCACAAGTCACTGAGATATCACCCTGAGACTTATTCCACAATCCAAAAGCAAAAAGAAGACAAGAAAAAAAAAAAAAAAAAAAGGAGAAAGCATGTTCTGTAATCTCATATGTTGTTTTCAAGACAGCTCTGTAATCTTCTGAGGTTAAGCATATGCTAATCAGGGAACCAATTATTTAAAAGCTGGTGGGACATTTTGCATACGCTTATTGAATTACATGTAGGCATAACAAAGTAGTAAAGTACTTAGGAAAATTGTGGCTCTATGATTAATACATCAAATGCAG